TTGTCTTCTTTGGTCGTAGATCGCAGTACAAACTCTGTGGAACATAAAAATAGCTGTGTTGGTGAAGCCTGAACATGAGAACAGGATCAGCCATGTGGGGATGTCCAGTGTCAAGACGGGCATCGCCAACACACTCGGTAACATCAGTATTCACGCTTCAGTTTCTTCACATGCTTAACTTCCTGGTTGAAATCTGGAGAAATACTTGAATACTGGCATAAGTTCAACACATACACTTATTTTTCCATTGACAAGAAGGGTAGTAAAAGGCTTTATTATGGCTTTAGTACAGGATCTCTTTTAATCACACTAAATAATGTGGCTAGAATTACGTAGACATCTTTAGGTATTTGTAAAATCAAGTAAGAAAAGTAAGAAAATAATACTAGATTTATCTTCAAGATTTCCAAAGCAGTGTCTCCTGACACTCCACGTGAGTCACAAAACAACACAATGAAAAATCTACTATGATCTTGATGATACAATAGAATATTTTCTGCATATATACCTGTATATTCCGATATAAGTTATGAATGACATTAGTACAAACCAGTATCAGCATAAACGTTTTCCAATGCTCAGATAATTCTATTATTTTTTAATGTAAAAAGATTGAAATAGCTGTTTATCATTTTGGTATTGGTTATAAGTTTGTATGTCTTGATGGTTTCCTAGGTAACAAAGGAGCAGTGGGCGTGTCCTTCATGTTCAATGGGACGTCCTTTGGCTTTGTGAATTGTCACTTAACATCAGGGAATGAGAAGATTGCCAGGTACTCACCACAGTCCTACACAAACATTAATATGGCCGTTGTATTTCAGGCTCTTTTTCCTACCCTTACATTGCAATATCCTCTTAAGACATCTGTTTTGGAAAACATCTTAAACACAACACATATTTCTCTTTTTCCTCTGATTGTCTCTGGTACATGTGACCTTTGTGTGTGTGTGTCCTACAGGAGGAACCAGAACTACCTAGACATCCTCCGCCTGTTGTCACTGGGAGACAAACAGCTGAGCTCCTTTGACATCTCACTCCGCTTCACACACCTCTTCTGGCTGGGAGACCTCAACTACAGGCTGGATATGGACATACAGGTAAAGCTCATACTCTGAGACATTTACAGAGCGATGATATAAAGCAGACGCCTTCATTAGTGGTTGTTTCTCTCTTTGTCCATGTGTAGGAGATTTTAAACTACATTAACAGGAAGGAGTTTGATCCCCTGCTCAAGGTGGACCAGCTCAACTTGGAGAGAGAGAAGAACAAAGTCTTCTTACGCTTCGGTTAGTAGAAGATAAATGATGGGAAATCTCACAACAGCTCAAAATAATGTGTCAATCATCTGTCTTTTTTTTGGGGTATATATATATACTTCCACATGCACTTTTTACCTGAAAAATCAAGTGACTGTGTGTCTAACTGTATGCAGCGGAGGAGGAGATCTCATTCCCGCCAACCTACCGTTATGAACGTGGCTCAAGGGACACATATGTCTGGCAAAAACAAAAGGCTACAGGGGTAGGTTTACTTTACTTCGACACCTAGATAGATCTAAACCCAGCTGTTCCTAACACACTCTTGCATTATTTTTGTGAGTTTGTGCTTGATAACTTCCTCTTGTGTGTCTGTCCCAGATGAGGACTAATGTTCCATCCTGGTGTGACAGGATCCTGTGGAAGTCATACCCAGAGACACACATTGTTTGCAACTCCTATGGTGAGATATTCATTCAAGAAACAATTGATTCAACACACTGTAACAGAGATCACTAAGAGCAATTCACTGAGACTTTACAAACCTCCTCATGTCGTACAGCAGTTAGTATGGTTGATCAACAACAAATTTCAGTGTTTGCTCTTCTGTTTTTCAGGCTGTACAGATGATATTGTGACCAGTGATCATTCCCCTGTGTTTGGTACCTTCGAGGTTGGGGTGACGTCCCAGTTTGTCTCCAAGAAAGGTTAACTTCCTTCAGTAAAAAAACCTTTTCTTTGTTTCCTTTGTTTATTCCCTCTCCCTCTCAGCTTCTTCCTCCTCTGTACTCTTTTTAACACGGCAGAGACAACACTGTTTGGCCATAGGGAGTGATATTCAAAACAAGGGAACTTTGTGCTTTTTAGAATAACTTGATGATGATGTGTTTATTTTCCTCCTCCAATCCAGACATTTTTGGTAACCTCTGGTAGTCCAGTCATTGACTCATGGCTGAACAGAAGCCAGAAATAAGCAATGAGTTGAGCAGACCAGAGGAAAGAAACTGAAGCCTGTTATTTTTTTACTCAATCCTCATTTCTACTTTAGAAAAATATCACACTTACAAACAGATGTTTAGTCTACACACCTTACTCAGATTTGTCTCCTTTTGTTCTATCATTATTTTCCTCCAACCCCCCTCAATCCTTCCTGGCCTACTGTCACTCTCTGCAGGTCTGCCAAAGTCATCAGAGCAGGCCTACATCGAGTTTGAGAGCATCGAGGCCATAGTAAAGACGGCGAGCAGAACCAAGTTCTTCATTGAATTCTACTCCACTTGTCTCGAAGGTGAGGGAAAGAGCCACCAAAATCCACCTGGCGATACAGCACAGACATGGTGGATTTAATAGATGTAATAAAATTGTTTCTGTTTCTTCTTCTTGTATGTTCTCCCTCCCTCCCTATCTCAGGCAGTCAGTATACCTTTAAAGCTCAAATCCATGTTTTACCTGTGCTGCATCCCCCACCTCCTGTTGACCATGTACCTTTGAATGAAATGCAATAGAAACATCTCCCTCCTCTTTTTGCCTCCCGCCTTGTTCCCTTTGTTTCCTCTCCCATCTACACCGCCCTGCATCTCTCTCTCTCCCCCTCTCTCCCCCCCCTCTCTCTCTGTTTCTCATCTGTAGAGTTTAAGAAGAGTTACGAGAACGACAGTCAGAGCAGCGACAATGTCAACTTCCTGCGTGTGGGCTGGTCCAACAAGCAGCTAACGACGCTCAAACCTCTTCTCTCAGAGATTGAATACTTGCAGGACCAACATCTGCTGCTTACTGTGAAATCACTGGATGGATACGAGTCCTACGGTATAAAGAGAGCGTTCATGATTGTGGTGTGGCTATGCCATTCTTAGGCGATGACAAGCTGACCTTGTCTCATTTTGTCTGTCAAATGGCTGTTTATTTGTTTTTCTCCTGTTAGGAGAGTGTGTTTTGGCGCTGAAGTCTATGATTGGCAGCACAGCACAGCAGTTCCACACCTACCTGTCTCACCGTGGGGGAGGAAACAGGAAATATCAGGGGGTCCATGAGGGTCCGAGTCCCCTCCGAGAGGATGGGAACCAGGGAGAGACTCTACGGTAAGGTTGTAACAATATAGTTTACTGTGGGGAGAATAAACTGTTCTTTGCATACAGACAGGGGAGTTTAAGATTGAGAGTTATACAAACACCATTACCATCTCAAGAGATAGTATCAACATGTAAATTGTATTGTACAAATATGGCAGGTTGAAATCAATCAATGTTACAAGTGTTGATAAATAAAGAGGTCATGTCTTCAATCAAGGCAATATGTGCTTCAGTTTTAAGGATGTAGAGAAATGTATTTGTTTTTAGGTAAGCTGTACTGGTTATATTTCAACACAATGATTGAAGAAGCTGCTCAAATAAAACCCTCTTTTTCTACATTTAAAAAAAAATGTCTGTAAAGATTTACTTCAGTAATGTCTCCAATGTTCTTCGACTTCAGAAATGTCTTTTAGTTAAAAAAAAAATGTTTATGTTCTGTTTGAAGATCATTTTCCCAAAGGTCACAGCTTTTCTTTTCATGTTTTTTAGCTGAACTTTTTTCATTGTTCTTTTAGAATCTAAACTGTTTTATTGTATTGCAGAGTGGATCAGTGTGGACAAGGACGAGACAGGTGGACCTAAAGGGAAATCCACTTTGGTATCCAGAGTGGGACATGAATATGTCAAGTCAGTACGCTTTTCTCTTTTTCGACATTTTCACACCTTCTTCACAGACCTAAATGTCTTATCAACATGCTTTGCATATAAGTAGAATAGATTTCCCTCTCTCAATAGATAAGATATCTCCATAATAGATGGTTGAAAGAAAATAAAATGAATGTGAGCCTGATAAAAGGTTGTATGTTTGCCCATGTGTCCTTTACGAAGGGTTCTAAATGTAGATATGGATAACCAAATGATTTGAAATGCATCATTGTTCAGAAAAAGTCTAGGTGGAGACCAAATCCAGCAATAAACATTTTTTGGGCGTCTTTCTTTTGAAGTACATCTTCTAGATTAAAGCTTCCAAACTGCATTGTTCTGAAGTTAAAGCCAGTGTTAGTGAAATTGTGTTTTTTTTTTTTTGGTTTTAAGTATATGTCTTTGGAACTTGTGTAGAATGTAGTGTGTAGATGCCCTCCATTTTGTCTTCATTGATAAAATATCCTGCAACTTGCACCAGGGAGGTTCACACAGTTATAATGTGCCATCAATACAGGCCATCTGTGGTTCGTAAACAGCTTGGAGAGCTTGGAAAGGTCAGCGAGGAGGCTGAAAGGAGCTGCAAGGAGGAAACCGCTGCAAGGTAAGGCAAAAAATGAACTTTACACACATTGATACCAAATGCTCTAATTAGTAACACAATAAATAAAAACCCTCAACATGTTTTATCAACCAAGCAAACGTGTGGATCATGCTGGATCATGCTTAGGGCATCAAACACCTGTTCTGGTTTTGTGTGTATTATAAAGGCCTAAACAGGAAGCACCTGAAGGGGATTCATCGATCTGCAAGAACAGCTACAATAATCCCGCCTACTACATCCTGGAAGGTGTTCCCAACCAATCAGCAGCTGCTCTTTCACCTGAGCTTCTCCCATCTCCTAACTCTGCAAACCCTCAGATAGCTAAACCCCCTCCTCCCTCTGCTGTAGCTCGCACCAAACCCCCTTATGGGGCCTCAGGATCCTGTCATGCACGCAGGCCCATGACTGGACATCCAGTGCGCGCTATAAGCGAAGAGGGCTCCTCAGAGGACGATGGAGGTACCTGTGCAGCAGGAGCACAGGTGGTTGGTATCGTAGCAACAGTTGGGACAACACTGACTCGCCCCCCTCCTGACTTCCCCCCTCCTCCTCTACCTAAGGGAGCACTGGAGATGGTTGCAGAGGCCCCTTTTCCCAAACCCCGTCCTATTTACCCAGACCTAGCTGAGGTCAGGATCCCAGCAGCCAGTCCTGCTAACCCACTGGCACTTGGAGAAGGTTTTAGAAGAGGAGGGGGAGGAGGGGAGGAGGAGGAGGAGGTGGTGGTGGTGGAGGAGCGCTGGACGACCAGTCGTGTTCTGTGCTCCAGATGGCAAAGACACTGAGTGAGAGTGAATTTCCTGGGCAGCCTCCACGAGCTCCGTCCGCACCACCGCCTCTTAGAGGGCAGCCGATGGGTTTAGGTTTGGACGCCTGCCGCACTTTCCCGCCCAGAAATCCCATCACAGAAAGTATCGCAGAGGACATGCCGGAGGAGGTGAGATCTACCCTTAAATTCCATTCTTTTCTACGGATGAGATGTTAATATATATATTTTTTTTTTTCAGGTTTTTTTGTTTTAGCATGTTTTAGGTGATCGTATGTTGTATTTCCCTTTTGCAGGCACTTTGGGGCAGCAGCAGCTCGTCTTTGTCTGTTGGCGAGTCATCAGTAGGGGAGTGGCTGCAGAGACTCGGACTGGAGAGGTATGAGCAGGGTCTTCTACACAACGGCTGGGACGACCTGGAGTTCCTCAGGTAAAGACACTTCAACATGTTCACATCCGTTCAGATTAGTGTGTCCTTTCATCCACCTGTAATCCTAAAGTTATTCTGATATTTTCACTATTTTGGTAAATGGGTTTTGTTTGAAATCCTGTCTCTTCTTTTTGAGAAATGTTCTCACCTCCTGTGTTATGTTTCCAGTGACATCACTGAGGAGGACCTTGAGGAGGCGGGAGTGCTTGACCCTGCCCACAAGAGAATCCTGCTGGAGAGCCTCAGGCAGCAGCCGCAGCAGCAACAGAAATAAACTCTTTCAAACTGGTCTTTGACTGGTCCAAACTGGTCCTGTTACCATACCAAGAGGCTAAAGCTCAGCTGAGCTGAACTGAACTGAGGCAGACCGTGCCATTTGATGCCAGACTGTGCCTTCTACAAGAGAATTTGCACTTCATTTGTACTTAAAAAAAACACTTGTTGAACCACCATCCTTTTTTTTCACATGTACTGTATGTGTGTTGTTTTTGTTATATAGGCGGCCTTATTTAATTATTATCAACACAGTCCATCGAGCATAACTACATAACCCTCAGCTATAAAACTAGTGTCGAGATGTCAAATGAGAAACTGTTATTTTCAGAGGTATTTTCGTTCCATCAGATCTGACTTCAAGCGTCTTCAAGCTAATGTTTGTTTTCCTCTCTTTGTCCTGAGAAACCTCAACTAAGGAGTGACGGAGTACAAGACTCCTCCGAGGACTTTTTGTGTGACACCAGAGCCTTGAAAACACACCACCTGTGTTTTGCATTTTCAACCCTTGTTTCTGTGATGTGTTTATAGTTTTGTTTGTTGTTACTCAATGATAAAGGGAATTTGGAGCAAACAAACCAAACCAGACAAGCTTCAATTGGCATATTTCACCTCGGTTCAACATTCACGTTTAAGGACGTAAACATTTCATATGACAGAAGAAGACAAATCTTTATTTAGAATAATAAGACCCAGCTTTGATGGGTCACATTTTTCAATCATTTCTCATCACAGTGTGTGAATGTAGCGGTGTTTAGGCAACTGGTTAGCATAGCCAAATAGATAAGCTAATGCTCTTCTGGGAAAGATTTAACAAGGTTTTTTTATTATCATAATCATGTAGAAACCAAAACATTTTTTTTTAAATAGTCTGGAAAAAGTCTGGTTTCTTTCTTTTTGTGATATAACTAAAGACTTGACCTAGTGGACGAAGATTTCACCTCTCATGATACATTGAAAACAGAAATGTCAGGTTTCTTCAGGATACAGATGATGTAAGGGCTGTTGTTATTCGCTGGTTTCACCAGCAGAAGGCGCTGCTGCTCCATAAACCTCTGCTATAGACGCTAACTGGAAACTATCAGAACAACACACAATCAAGTCAAAGGAGTTATACTTTGGTTTATCAATATGTTGTTTAGGCAGTTAAAACCTGAGTTATATAACCTGTCAGTGTTCATACTGCCTTTTTCTTCATTCAAATCCTGCCTCATTTTCTGCCTTTGTGACTAGAAGCTAAACAGATGAGCCAGTTTATTGACGTCTTATGAGACACTGCCAGAAAACAGAACTCTAAATGAATGTGTTGTTGCATTAAACAAACATTTTTTTAACACGTCACATGTCTAAACGTGTTTAAATAATTGTAACCGTTTAATTCATGTCTGGAAATGATCCTCGTTTTCTTTTTTGTGACCCATTTTTTTTTGGGGGCTCCTGATTACTTGTGTGTTGTGGTTTTTGTTAAACAGTTTGTTTTATCATCAACAGCCAAGCAACCTTAATGCAGAAAATTCAGCTTGCAATCTTGTTAACAATCTAGTCTTCTGAGCCTTCTTGGCCTTATCTGTGTGCGTGCGTGTGTGTGTGTGTGTGTGCGTGCGTGCGTGTGCGTGTGTGTGAGATTGAAAAAGAGGCTCATGGTCTCTAACACACTCCTTTTCTTTTTTTCCCTTCATGGCGTCTCTTTTCTTTCGGTTATGTTAAGTTAATGTATGTTGTTGAACCATGCCATTTTTTTTCTATTAAAATGTAACATCTTTCCTTACCCTGTAAATTGTGTACTCTGTTTTCACTCTTTGTTTATTGTTATCGCCTGCAGGGAAAGCTGAGGGGATGAGACAGTTACAATCCGTGAGCTGTAGACCCACCTCAATACAGGAAAGGGAAAGTGTGAGGTAATATTTTAATAAGTCATAGTCCTCTAAGGTTAAAGTTAACCATAATATCACAAGTGTGTACCTCAAATTTTCCACAGATTTAACAATCTTTGGGGTCTGACTTTTGCACACATCACACTCATCACACTTTTTACACACAAGAAATCAGATCATTAAACTCCTCGTGTAGTGCTTCCATAATGTAGATTTATTAGAATATTCAGAGTAGTGCTATAACTTCTCATTCACTAGAGCGTCCGTCAATTCTTAGATTTCATGAACATGTTGGTCTGGGACACAGGCGCTCTGCAATGAAATCAATCTGTAAAGCAACATGAGAGAAATAAATCAAAACCCTACCTAATATTTATATTACTAAATACGGGATTTACAGTCACAAAATTTCAAGGAGCAGTCCAGCGAAATCTGTGGGTTTTTCACCGACATATTAAAGAATATTAATAAATACATTTTGTTCCCCATTTTGAGATATCTGGAGCAAACTCTTCTGGAAAAAAACAGCTTAGAAATCAGTCTTTTTTTCAGTGATTTGCCACAAAAGAAACAACGGGTGATACACAAGCAACTTTGTAGAGATGCTGTCTCTCTCTACAGCCAATGTCTGACTGGCTCGTGGAATTTTCGGCAAAAGATTGCCCAATATATATTGTGGCAGCGTTCATAAACTGATCAAAAAGTCAGAGTGGGGGACACGCTGTAGGTCGGCTTGAGCTCAAAGCACAAAACTGATGCGACAGTCATTTTTCTTAATCAAGCAGAAAAATCATCCAAAAACTCTCAACGACAGTGAGAAACCAGAAGTAGTACCATGATACCAAGTCCGTTATAGTTTTCCTTGCCTTGGTGCATTTAAACAAAGTGCCCACTGTTAGAGAAAGGCATGATGGGACAGAGGGAGTGAAGGGATGGGGACCACATAGAGGATGTTTGTGAAGGATTCATGACTTGATACAGTAAAGAAGGACAAGGAGAGGGATGAACTGGGGATGTGTCTGGTCTGGACCCGGCTGCTTTAATTGGATTTCTGGTTGCTCTGCTCTGTTAGGCAAAGAGATTTAAGGGGGACCCTGTTGTCTTACGGTGGTACTGTGTGTCAGAGGGCTTAGAGGAAGTTGTGCTTGAGGGTAAAAGTTTGTTTGTTTTGTTTTCCCAGCAGAAACTGGAGCATGATGTTTGGATTTCTGCTTTAACATCGTACCTGACCGCCATGCAGGATGGGGTTAGTTTGCAATGCAGCCAGTGTGGGAATTTGAGTGAAAGAAAAGCAGAAAAAAGGAGATTTGTATGTGTGTTGTCAATCGAATGTGGTTTTTCAGCCAAAAGCAGTTCTGATTCGGCTACACACTCAAAAATGTGAAGTTAAAATGGCCTGAGCATGAAGAGTTTAACATCTTATGTAGAGCTGACGATACTCTTTCTATTAGCTATTTGAGCAGCTCTGGTTTCAGGGTAAATGTGAAGAGTAAAAGTGTTGTAGGAAAGGAACTGACACACCTGATAGTTTAGTGGGCGATGATGACCAGACATTTGAGTTCATCTGAGCTTTGAATCAGTTTAACAGTAGAGGTTTTTAGAGAAGGTAAGAGGGCCCTGCGGGACTACATCAGACTAGAACCACTGGACTCGGCCAGACTGTCCCAACACTGATCCTGTAGTACCACATAATGTTTGGTTCTCATTTTCTCTCCCTCTGTGCTTCAGAACAGGTTCGTCTTGATGGCAGGGTTGGGTTTTCTATGGAAGGAGGACAGTACTCCGGCAAAGGGCCCGGTCATACTGTCCGCCGGCTGCCAGGCCTTCAGGATCTCCTGAGTCTGCACGGCAGGCTGAGCCACGGCCGGGTTGGACGGCCCCAGACTGGACCAGCTGGGCGGCTTCAGTCCCTGGAGAACCGGAGAGCTGGAGGCGTTGCTGTAGATGCTGTTGGCAGGAACAGGGCTGGGGCTCAGGCTGGCGGGGCTGCCAAGGTTGCCATTGGCTGAGCCCGGCAAGGAGGCCGTGCTGTCGGGTGTCGGGCTGCAGGTGGATTCTTTGGATTCATCATCATCTGATGAAGATCTCGGCTCTCCACTCTTTTTCCCTCCAGAGCTGCTACTGCTGCTGGTGCTGCCGTTGGGACCCCCAGAGTTGTTGGCTTTGGCGTTGGCTGCACGCTCCTGCTTACGAAACTTGGCACGTCGGTTCTGAAACCACACCTGGTTAACACAGACAAAAATAATTATGTGATTAGAAAAGAATGGAAATGAGAATAAAAGTGTCATTACAAAGAAATTAAAGCTTTCTTTAGGGAAATCTGCTTGTAGTGATCCTCTCACCTGTACACGGGCCTCGGTCAGGTCTATCTTCAGTGCCAGCTCCTCTCGTGTGTAGATATCAGGGTAGTGGGTTTCAGCAAAGACTCTCTCCAGCTCCTTCAGCTGGGAGCTGGTGAAAGTGGTCCGGATGCGCCGCTGCTTCCTCTTCTCATTCAGGCCAGAGGGGTCCGAGAAAAACTTGTAAGGAACTAAAAGAGATAAATATTTTGGTTTATTGGTTCAGAGTAAATTTACAGATAATAAATCAATCAATACAGATTGACTGATGCATTAGAAAAGCAGAGACCACAAGGTTTACAGTTACACCGAAACAAAAGAGGCTCAGTGTTAATAAAGCAAGGCAGGCAAAGTCAAATATCTGAAACACAAGTTAAGTTATTTTCACAGGCGATCATCCAGAATTATTGCCCATTTAATTGCATTAAAAGATAAATACAAATCTTTATAACAAGCTGCTGTGTTATTTATTTGAGTGACTTATTTGTGGAGAACAGATTCATTCATTTATGATTATGTTAACAGCCGGAAAGAACTGACAAAGAGAGAAAAAAATATGATAAACTAAAGGTCCGAGCCTATGAGACATAAAATAATAAAAAGACAGTATGTGCTACAATAATGAATAGTTTTTAGATCTTCTTTTTTTTTTTTCCTTTCGCCAAAAACATGTAGGCCGACCTATTTGACAATGCTGAATTAGGGTTTTTGGTTCTTTGACATAGTTTGATCGAATTACACAAATACGTTTAAGCTTCAAAGCTTTTGGATGTTGATTTAGAGAAGTGATTAAAAAACAAGTAAGATTATAGGTGCAGTCCATGTACCATTAACTTTTTTTTTTTTTTCAGTTTCAGTGTTTGCAGAAAAATATGTCTTTGTCACAGAATGGAGCATTATCCGTCAGCCTGGAAGAATTTGTTTAATGAAATGATAGTGATTGAAGTGTTGTATAATTTAAAAAAAATAGCTGTAGACCCAAATTCTTCGTTACATGGGCCTGTACGTCACAGGTGTGCGCGCGCTTGATTAATTAAGTCCACCTAGAATTTTTCATAGACGATGTTTTATATAATTATTATTTATCTATAATTTTATTATGGTTGTCTTTGTAATTGATTAAAAACTTTTTTTTTTTTTTTTTTATATTTCAGGCCTATTTCTTTAGTTATCATGTTTTACGTAGGCCTATATGCATATACATCATGTATTTGCTTTAGTTCAAACAAGTGTAGAAGGTAGAAATTATCCAAGGATCTCAACGCCTCATTAAAAATGAACATACATTAAGATATAAATTATTACATTGATTCTCCATGCAAATGTAGCAGGCCGTTTTTTTACAGGCCTATTCAATCGAAATCTAATTAAAATCTATTAGATTACAGATCCATGTGCGACAATCAAGGCATCCACTTTTTAGATATTTAAATAATCAAGAGTCTAGATGTAAACCATGTAACAATTTAAAACATATTATAAAGGCATTTTTTCCTTTTTTTTATAGCCTATAGGACTTTAATTTGACCTCATCGCTCATTAATGTCGTCATGCTAAAACATCTGTTTTAATCGCGGTGGACCTTCGGGAGAAATAAAATAGAGTGCCCTGTACCTGAGGAGTAAGGTGTGGGCTGGTGCTCCCGCAGAGCTCCTAAGGTGCAGCTGGCCGTGCTGAGCGGGGTGCAGCCCGGGTTGGAGAAGGGTCCACTCCGGATCGGGTTGTACTGAAAGGAGCTGGCCTGGCTGCACGAGCTGAAGTCCGCGTAGGCCGACGCTTCCATGGCTGCCATGCAGGAGTCATAGGAGTTCAGGTAGGAGTAATCCATTTTATACATGGAGCTCAACCGGTGAAAACACCGGGGTGCAAAAGAAATGACGAAGAGGACTCTGAGTCTGAGACGCTTCGGTGACTCTTCAGCCTTTTTTGATGCTTCACAAGACAGCGGTGATATTGTTCAAATTAGTCAGAGTTGGTCTTTCTCTCCGGTTTCCCTGAGGACTGTGGACTCGTCTTTCAAAACTCCTCCGGTTTTCGGTGTTTTTTTGTTTTTTTTTGTTTTTTTCTTCTCGCAGTCACGCGGCTTTTCCTTTGTAAATAATCCAGATGTTAACACTCTTTACTCTTCAGCCTCACTCTGTGTTGTTTCCTGGTTTACCTCTCTGACTCCGGGTCTTTTACTTCTCGCCCTCTGGACTCTGCTTCGCTCTGCTCTCGCGCCCCGTTTGACAGCGCGCTGCGGCTCGCGCGGTGTTTATAATAAACTTGGCAGAGCGCGAGACAATAGCGAGGCGGTGGTCTAGTTTCCATGACAATGCCACCAGTGAGTGAGCGTGGACACGGACGGCCCCCCCCCCCCCGCCCCTCCCCTCCCCTCCCCCCCCTGCTCTCTGCACCGCCCCCGCGCTGCAGAGCATCACGAACTCGCAGGTGTCAACAGAGTTAAATAATGAGTCTAAAAACACAGTTATAAGACCATTCTAGTGAGTCCAGTCTCTTCTTTAAGGCCAAATACGACCAAAGTTCAGAACGAATGTAGCCCCGTTAATAGCATTTAGATTAGAATTACGTTCGTTAGGCTACATTCAGCCTAATTAAAAATAATTTACAAACTCCAAGTGGACATTTAAGAACCCTTTTCAGCCAAAACCAGCACGTGCTACTTCTTTTCCTCCTTTGATTTTGGCTGAGTTATGATGTTTCCCCATGTAGGCTATATTCCACTTTAAGGAAGATAAGCACCTGTGGGTTTAGCTCATTTGCCACGCAGGTTGCCTATTCCGTCCACAAACCTTTAAACTGCTCATAAACCATTCCCTGTTTATATCGATTTGTAACCTATAGTCTATATTTGTAGTCTATATTTGTAGTCTATATTTGTAGCCTCTGTAGACTATTTTCCCCAAATAAAATTTGAGTGTTTTTGGGCCAATTAAGGGGGAAAAATATTACCCATGCTTTGTAGTTTTGGAGGTTTCAGAATATGAACTATGTGTTAGGTTAAACATCATAACACGCTTATTAAGCATGTAGATATTTCATATGTAAAGATAAGGAAGAGAAAAGAGGCGATGGGTTTGGGGCTCACAATTGTCCGATATTGGAAACATCCACAAGGAGAAGCAGATATTCTTCCTCTGTTCTGACATGGTCATGTAGGCTACGAGACTTCTTTTTTTTCTCTCTATGTGATACAGGATCACGCATAAATACTACAGGCTTGTTCAACTTTTACTGTGTGCTACTGCAGTTTATGAGCAGGTGACAATTGAACCACAAAGTTATGCTTTGTGTCCGGCCAGGAGCCCCTCAAACAGCTCGTGTAAGTGCAGCTCAGCTACAGAAGTCTTTATGTGGGGAAAACGTCCAGATGTGACGGTGATTGCTGAGATTAAAAGCTTTGATTTGATTCCGATCACTTTCACGGAGATGTCACCAGAGTGAGCGTTAGTTTGATATATAGGACGAGAGAGGGAACAGCGGAGACAACTGAGCCACCGCGACAGGCTAACCATAAACGCATTGACGCTTCATAAATTGGTTTAAGTTTATTGTTCGGTGTCACAATGTGATAAGTCATATCCCATACGGCCCCATCACACACACGCACACACACACACACACACACACACACACACACACACACACACACACACACACACACACACACACCAAGGGCTGAATTCAGCAGGCTCGCTTCATGCGGTTTCCAAATCTGGTGTTTTTAAAAAAAAAACACACAACTGCATGCTCTTTTTCCGTCATTGTTCTTTATATTAAAGAGCTTTTTATCCTGTGGATGAATTTCAACAAATAGTCTTGTATAGGCCTAGTCTAAGCCACAAACCAAAGATTACGTTGAACATGCACGAGATAAATTAATTAAGTTCGCTTTCTCTCTGCCTGACCAGAGGAGATACTTTCTCTCAGCCTGACCAGAGGAGATACTTTCTCTCAGCCTGACCAGAGGAGATACTCCCTTAATGCCATTAAGCCACCAGACACGAGCGCATGCGTGCATTATCCGCTCTGTACTCACATCAACTAGAAAATAAGTATTAATAATAAGATTCATTTAAGGCTTTTATTATGTGGTTGTTGAACGATTTCTGAAACTTTGGGTTCGGAGCTGTTGATGTCCGTCTCTGCTGATGGTGATCACTCCCTGCCTGCTGCTCCCTCGGAGGGTCTGATGTTTTAGTCTCAATGAAGATGAAGTCCACTCAGACATGTCAAAACAACATCTGAACTGCTTGTGTAATTAACACGTTTTTATTTGTAATTTTGAAGGACGTTCATTTGAATCGGCCTTTGAACTGTCAAATGCTTAATCTTATAGACTTCTTATAACTAACAACTCATCCAAAAATATTGACCCCAATTGTATGTACAATTTTAGAAATATGAGTTTTGCACCTGAGTGCATCTACTCAACAAGGATTAGGAGATTGTATTCACCTGCCTCCCCCTAAAAAATAACAATTAATCTATTTTAGCCTATAACTGGCTATAAATCTAGAAACATTGGCTTTAAATGCAACATGAAATCAAACATTTAGGTAAATTGCAAAGAGCTATACCAGTGCACATGAATTTTTTAAACTCGTACAAGAAAAATGTCAATCGGTCAATTGGAAACAAACATTATTAATTTTAAATCTCCATAAAAATGTGCCTTACATCCCTCTAACTGCAGCACCACATTTTAACATAAGGGCACTGTTAAGATCTCCTATTCGCTCACTATACTTTATTGAATCCATTTATAAAAATGGTGCATTCATAAGCCCTCTGACTTTTCAGGCTCCCACATGAAGCAGCAGCTCCCAGGCCGTGTCGACTGGTGTGTGTCCTCGTCCAGTCTGCTGGGTTCAGAGGTGAGTTTACCGAGAAACTTAAACTGTTTCAAAGTTAAACTCTGCAGGCCGTTTCTGCTGCCAAAAAAAAAAAGAGCATCCAGGAGCGACCCTAGCTCTCCCGCTTTAAAGCATTTAAACTTTAATCCCTTCAAAGAGGGGAGCGCTCTCTTCCAGGCCACTAATCCGCCCTTAGTGCTCCTGCGCAGGGGGAGACTTCTCCTCTGCATGCGGAGGCTTTAACTTTGGACTTTTACATTCATGGACGGAAACAGTAACGGAGATCTTTGGCATTCATGACGTCTGAGTCAACAGAGGGGGACACAATGGTCCCCTAGAGGCTCCTGTGGGCTGCTGAGAGGGGAACCACGACTATAGGGATTATAGGCCAATGGAGGACTGGGTTAGGCCTGTATGACTTATTCTGCCCTTTTCTTTAGTTATGAGTTATGACTCAGTGGACATTAAAAGGCAATGTCACCATGTCGGTGATAAAGATAGCAAAACATTAATTGAAACTGCAAAACTGCACAAAATCGAAAAAAAATCAAGTTCATTTTGTTTAATCTGAATTTTGTTTATTTTGTCGTTTCAATTGATCGTTGATTCATCGAGTGTCTCTTTTCATCACTTTACAACCTACATCTAGCTCAAAGGTTTTTATTTGGAAATCGAGGGGATTGTTAATCAAGCACTTTGCAGATTTGATTTTTTTTTTCAGTGATGAAACAATTTCTGATTTCGGGGGGGGGGGAAGCAAACTGCCATGAGCCCATGAATAATTTTTGTCTTCCTCTGCTCATTTCAAACACGACAGGGCCATGATCTGTAAATTCATTCTCGACATTTGTCCTCTCTCTGCTCCCATCTTCCCTGCCACTGTAATTGTTTTCGATGGTCTTGCATCCATAAGACACCGGCTGGAGCTCAGCAGGGCTGCATGCAGATCGGTCTTAACGAACAAGCGGTGTGTGTTGGAGGTGTTTGAGTGACTGGTCTCTTTGATGGATGGTATTGATGGAGAGATAGAGAGGTGTATTGGTAGAGACAAGGGGTAAGGGATGAGTTAAGGATGGGACACTGGCCACACTGGCTGAAAGAAAAGCCACGCGGGAGGCCCAGTCCGGTATCTGTCCCGTGACACGCGGTGGTGGTCTGCAAACCGAGTGAAGCTGTCAGTGAGAGAGAGAGAGAGAGAGAGAGAGAGAGAGACAGCCTGCCGGGTTCATCCATCACTAGAGCGCAGAGAGGAACATGTTTCTCTTCTTGCTTCAGAGTGATGCAGCTATTGGTCCTTATGGGTGTAACCTCCTCTTTACACGTCCGTAAATGTGTGCGTACATTGGGAGAATGGAGTATTATAGGGCTATTATTTTTGTATTATTCAGGGTTAACTGAAGTCAGTGATAATGGTCTGATCGTGCAAATCAAGTTTTTATTTTTTTTTCTCATTTAGAAAATAAATTATCGGCCGAACACTGAAAATGTGATTTGACTCTGGGCGAACCTGAGGGAGCTGAAGGCGAAACGAATTGTGAGCTCACAATAAAGTAACAGTAAAGTCATTTTGTGCGGTTGATTGTTGTTGTTTTTTTTAAATTATTATTATTGTACGATTGTATGCTCCTGCAACCGACCGGCATCTGAGCACATATAGGTTAGCTGCTGCTGCTGCTGCACGAGGAGTCCTCTCTATCGTATCAAATGTGTTTCATATTGCATGTCATGAAGTGAGCAGAGCTATTATCTGCTGCAACAAAAAAAAAAAAAATGCAACCAGAGGACAAAAGAAAATCAGGCCCAGGCAAATTGAGTCCCTGCAGAGACTGCAGACTGTGTTCTCTGTAACGAAATCGTTTGCATGGTTTGCTCGACATATTTTTAAAATAACGATTGAATTAACCTACGATGCATTAAAACCTGCTCGTCCAGCTAATGTAAACCACAAAGCTTCAGCAATTAACTATAAATCTACATTTTATTCCGATCAGGCTGTTGATAAGACTTTTTTTTTTTTTTAAATGAGCCTATATGGCATTCGTTTACCTTTTATAACCAGCAGCAACTCTGATAATAGCCTGCGTAAAATGATATTGAAATTAAAATAATTTGCCGTATTAAAAGGTTACATTAATTTGATAGGACACTTTGCTATGATGCATAAGAAATGATTAGACCCACAGCGAGCTAAGTAAAGATACAGATTGCAAAGCTGTGTTGCGTTATTAATGACTTTTCTAATGTTGGTTTGATTGCCACATTTCGCTTGTGAGCAAAACAGTAATGATCGAATTCCCTCTTTCAGGTTCACAACTCTCAACAGGTTTACTTTTCATATTAATGTATCTATTGCTGTGAAATTACAACCCGAAAAGTGTTTTTTAATCTAAG